TCAAATTATATGAGAGTATCCTCATGTTTCTTGCGCCTTTGTTCGTGTAAGTAGAAGTGACCTCTGCCTCTGTTTATGACCGACATGTACAGGTCAAGAGTGACACACACCTGTACTAAACCTCTCAGGTCAGGGTCAGGATCCTCCAAAGGATTAACAAAGGAGGACAAAAGGACCAACTCTGCCTCCAACCGTGTGTCGGTTATGTGGCCCTGCTCTGACGTAGAGAGACAAAAAAACACAGTATGAAGCAAGAAACAAAAACACTTCACTCACATATGTAAGATTTTCTTTTTTTATAATTTGATTTATCTGCTTAAATATGAGCCAAGCCAATTTTGCAAAAGCAAGTTGTATGAGTCATTAGAAAGAAGGTATCTCTAGCTATATTCACAAGTTGTAGTCACGTTTAGTGCACTCATTTAAGTCACACTGATATTGGAGGTGTTTTCCTGATTTTATCTCACCTTAAACATCTTTTATTTTGACCTGATTTTATGCTTCCTCAAAATATGATGTTGGTTCAATGATCAAAACTGGTTAATATTTTTTAAAATTTAAAGTTTGCTATTTTCCCCCTTTGCTGCCCTATGAAGCACTTTGTAGTGTAGGTTTTTAAAGATGATCAATAAATAAAGATGATTTTTCATTACTTGTACTTAATTCCAAACAATTCCCTTAAATTTTCAGGTTGAAACAACTTGTGTGACGTAATGTGTCGACTTACAGGTGCAACTCGAAAATTTTGAATGTCCCAAAAATGTCAATTTCCCCCTTTTATTTAATTAAAAACTGACACTTTCATCTATTCTAGATTTACCTGACACAAAGTTAAATATTTCAAGACTGTCTTGTTTGAATCTTGATAATTTTGTCTTACAGCTCAGGATAATAAAAAATTAATTGTCTTTAACCATTTGAATATTGTGGAAAAGTCCTGTTTCTGTCAGTTATTTCAGTTATTAGAATTATAAAAAAAGAACTTTATGGTGGGTTATTCGATTTTTTTAGCTGCTCCTTTACATCCAGACTTTTCCAGACAAAGTCCTATCAGCCAGCTGGAGAATTTCAGCAAGAAATCAGGGTGAGCTGGTTTGAAAAGGTCAGAAAAAGTTTTCAGTAATGGCATCTTTAAGTCACATTCTGCCTCCTCAGACCTCCTCTTCTACCTTCATCAACATGCAAAACTCCAGCCTCATGGGATGTGTGTGAATAACTTCAAATGTCTTTGTTGCAGGTTTTCCTGAATTATTCTAGAAATTTTTCAGTGGTGCTTTTATGAAAAGGATGGCCGTGAATCTGTTTAGTTGAAAGTCTGAACATCATTCAGCTCGGTGTCCTCTGTTCTCTTCCTGCTGATGGTGGTGATGTGCACTGAGCCTCAGTAAATTCCCCTTTTGATTATTATTACAGGACGCTGAGCTGTCTGCTCCGGGAGTCCAGGCAGGCTGGTATGCAGGGCGATTAATGCCACAATGGGATGGCAAAACACAAAACTGAGTCGGCTGCAAAAGCAGACAGCTCTCAGGATGGCAGATCACTCTGATCCTCAGTTATGATGTTCAGTGTGAAGAGTAAAACTGAATCCAGAGATTGACAGGGGGTACAAAGCTGTATGCAGCTTTCAAGAGGAAATAATTTCAACCACAGTGGAGTTTTCTACATCAGCAACCAACAAGCAAATAAAAAAAAAAAAAACCCAGAAGAAATACATCAAAGATCATAAATCAGACAAACTAGGAGAGTCTGGTTTCTAATTAATCAAATAATCCCATTTCTGTGACAGAAGACATAAATAAGTCTTATAAAGGCTCTTTTATGTCATGATGGAGACTTAAAACTTAAAACTGCAGAGACAATAGACAAAGCAGAAAAAAAAGATGTATTCAAAAGATGTATTCAGAGGCTAAATTCACAGCGAGCAGGTATGAATGAAGAGGGACAAGTGGTTAAAAAGTAAGAAACCCGAGTATCATCTTTGATCCCACTGTCTCTACTAAGCTGCAAAATATCAAATATCAATCTGGCTGCTCCTGAGACACTTCCAATACAATATGCATTACTTTAAGATCCTGCTCTTCACCAATAACCTCACCCCCTCATCCCTGACTTCCTCCTCCACTCAGCACCTCAGATCATCAGACTCCCATCACCGGGACCAAACACCCACCTTGCTGTTGCATGTAGACTTTCTCTTTATAGCATCATAATTCAAAATCCATATTTTCTGACAAAGGTCAAAACAATTAACCCCCACTGCCTCTCCTGTCAGACTTTCAAAAGTTGTATTTATGTCCTTTAATCTGTTCTGTTTTTCCATCCATTGTATGTGTATTGAATATTTAGAAAAATGCTTCACAACTCATTAGTGTTAATATTCCTGTTTGTTTGAATATAAAGGATCTTTTCATTTTACACCAGCTGCATTACCTGCAGTGTTGCACCTGTGTGAGATGCTACAGTGTCACCTGAAGTTTACTGCAGCAAGCTTTGTCTTCAACCACCAGAGGTCAGAAAAAACAAGTGGATGCTGTTTTTATTTTTGACAATATTTTTACTGCTTTCAGCTTAGCAAGAGCAAAACTTTCACAAGGACATAAAAACTCAACTCAACTTTATTTAATCAGCACCTTTCATACATACAGGCATGCAGCTCAAAGTGTTTCACAAAAAAAAAAAAAAACAGACAGGAAATAGCAGCAATGACTACAATAATAAAAAAAAAATACATCAGACTTTATAGTGCTTTTTATCAGAGATCCTCAAAGCGCTGTACATTGGATACATCATTCATTCGCTCGCACAGTCACACCTTGGTGGTGGTAAACTACCTTAGTAGTCACAGCTGCCCTGGGGCAGACTGACAGAACCATGGCTGCCAATTTGAGCCTACGGCCGCTCCAAACATCACCACACAACACTCACAATCATACACCAGCGGAGGACACACACACTCGGAGCAAGGTGGGTTAAGTGTCTTGTCCAAGGACACAACAGACAGACTAGGGATAGGACAGGGATCGAACCGCCAACCTTCTATTTATGGGATGACCGCTCTACCTTCTAAGCTCCTGAAAATACATATAATCAGTTATAAACAATGAAATATTGACTAAAGACTAAAAAGACTTTGAAAACTTATAGTAAATTAGGAAGAGGGAAAGAAAATTGTTGGATTATACAGTTCAGAGTTTAAACCAAAAAGCCTCAAAACAAACTCCTCAGTCTGTGGAATATCCAGCTAAGTGAATTTAATCCCTGATGTATCTTGATTTATGAAAATGCATTAAAAGTTTACACATCTTTTTGCATACATTCAGTTTTCAGTTTTCAAGTGTGCAGTTTTTTCATGCATGCACAGAGAAATGGTCTTTCTTTATAGGCAAAAACATGTCTTATGAATCAATTTGCTTGCAAAATGCGCATCCAAATAAATTAAATTTTTCCAGGGCTGGTGTATGGAGGACAAAAGCTTGGATGACTGCGGCCGATATGATATTTGTCATGCATAGGGCCTGAAATCTCTAACTCCTTTCTCCAGTGGATGCAAACATTCATTTTAACCAACGATTAACCAGTTAAGATTAATATCTGAGTGCTTTTGGAAGCTCTGGACTCACGTTTTACCCAGAGAACATAAAGAATAAGTGCTTTTGCAGGGTAAAGCAGAGGTTGTGCACTGATAAAAAAGTGCTCATTTGAGTAGTCCGTTCAGCTGCTTTACATGCAGGGACTGAATGAAATCACAGTTTGCAGAAATTAAGCATGAGGTGTGTAAACTCATGACACTCAACATGCAAATAATTTTACTCCTGATACAGTTTAAAAAAGAAAAAACAAAACGTAATAACTGACAGTAAAAGCCAGATATTAAAAAATGCATTTCATATATGAAATCAAAATCCCTGGGTTTTTCAGAGGCATGCGCTCCTGATGCTCTCAGTATTTCTGAATGGTCTGTGTTTTATGGGAGGGGTTCTACCCATGCCTGAGTACACGTGACAGTGCATGGGCCACTGAACAGCTTTCATAGAACTGAACAGACATCAAAAATATGAGGTGCAAAAAAACAACAAAACATGAGGCACAAAGAAGATCCTGTGCCACACCGTTTTCACTAAATGTTTCTCTCATAGACGTCTAGGATCAAATGTTTTATCAGATGCAAAGTCCACCTGCAGAGCTTTAAGAGAATAATTAGATTTTAATCATTTTAATGATAGGGTAAATTGTTAAGAAAAACAATAAGTATAAAGGATGATGAAGATGGAAAAACTTCTCGTTTTTATGAAATTATCAAATGAAAAAGAAAACAATCTTTTCCTCTTATTATTTTCATCTCTGTAAAGTCTCATTTTGTTGAGTGTTTGCAATAAAAGAAGGTTTGAATAAAATATATTTCAGTTGCTTTTTTTGAATTATTTACTTTCTAAGAGACGTGCATGTGAGTAAATTTTGATTATGGAGTTAAAATATGCAAATAACCATTAAACAAACCATATTGTCAACTTAATGAGTAAACAGTGAATTAAAAATGTGAAGAAAAAAATTCCAATCTCAGGTTTTCTTCAATTTTGTTTTGTGAAACAGTCGTTTTAATCTTTTTTTTTTTTCCTGTCTCCATGTCAGCCTTTGTTCCCTGTTTGTCAGTGATCAATGTGTTCCTGTGTGTTTCTGTCCATGCCTTGGTACACGTGACCCCGCCTCGTTCATGCATCACATCGTTTAAATGAGCAAAGCCCCGCCCCCAACGCTGCTACCAGCTCTTCTTTCTGCAAAGACACAGCCTATTCGTGTCCGTTTAAGCCTTTTTCGATCTCTACGTGTTGTTTAAGATCATATAACATTATAAAATTATCTGCTTCACGGGTAAATCTTAAAATAATAACAAAGAAAGCGTGTCCACGCCGCTCTCCACCTCTTTGACCAAAGCAGGATCTCCTCGAGCTGTTTTTCCTGTCAGCCAATCAGCGCGCACTAGAGCTGCACTAAGCCCCGCCCTCTGTTCCCTGCGTGTACCGGGGTGCTGCTGGAACATTTTGTTATGAAGGCGAACTAGTTCCTACAGCTGTGCAGCCTGTAGCTCTTCATTACTATTTTCTCTTCACTCGCTTTAAAAAATCATTCAATCTGAGGACAGACTGGCGTTACAGCTCCGAGACAGCACGCAGGGAGACGCCAGGACGTCAGAATAAAGTAGTTTGATTTTAAGTAATGAAAGAGAAACACGTCCTGCCTTCATGCTTACTTTCAACAAAGAAGAGGCTATGGATATTCGCGACGGGAAAAAGAGGAGAAAGGTAAGCGGCGGTGGAGGAGGAGGAATAGGCGGCGGTGGTTTCGGTGTCGGTTTGCGGGGCTGCAGGCGGAGTGTAGCCGCGAAAATGAAGCGGGAGGTGGGGAGAGTGCTCCGCTCCCGCACGCTGGAGGACAACAACCACACGGAGCCCATGGAGGCAGAGGAGGAGGACGACGACTGCTTCTCCATCAGCTTCCACCACAGTGAGAACCTGGAGCCCGCCGTGGTGGTCGCTCCTCGGTACAGCTTGCTGCGGGAGGTCGGTCGGGGCAGCTACGGGGTGGTGTATGAGGCGATAGCCCGCAAAACAGGGGCCAGGGTGGCGGTGAAGAGGCTCCAGTGTGACGCCCCGGAGAATGTAGAGCTTGCTCTGGCTGAGTTTTGGGCCCTGACGAGCCTGGAGAACCGGCACCAGAATGTGGTCCAATTGGAGGAGTGCGTCCTGCAGAGGAAAGGGATGGCCCAGAAGATGAGCCATGGGAACATGAGGTCCAAACAGTACCTGCGGCTGGTGGAGACCTCACTGAAAGGTATGCATGCCATATTTACACCTCTGACAACCCCTATAGGATGGTGTTGATTCTAAACCATATAGGGAACTCCAAAAGTCCCAAGAAAAAGGCCTTAAAATGACTATTAAACTGTTTATAATTGCTTAATTTGCAAGATGAACCTATTAGAGCAGACTTTTGGATCCCTTCAATCAGAAAAACCACTTTCAATCCATTTAAAAGTAGGTTAACTTTAGTTTCAGGTTATGTAAACACGCACTGTGGATCTGTTGATGCCTGTTAGTGCAACCTCAATACTGGCTCAAGTTGAGTGAAGCACATGCATGCAGAGATTTGTGATAAAAGAAGCTTATTGCTGTGTTTTATGTGTTACTTTTCAATGTAAAGATTGTTTTCTTACCAATTAAAGTGTTTGTGTTTGATTTTTATATTTTAAGTTATGTAGTGTGTGAAATCTGTTGCTGAAATCTGCTTTTCTGTTGTAAGAAGGTTAATTGAGGCAAAAACTGAGATTTTATGAATTAAAAGTAGCGCTCCTGCTGCTCTTTATATGTCAGTGACGTATGCAGCTGCTATATGATGTCTATAGTAGCACACAGAGTACACAGTGTTACCCTCGCTCACAAGAGGACACAGTGTACTACTCGGTAGCATATTAGCCTATTGCATATGAAGTGAGTATTTGGATGCTCAACAATGATGTTCCAGTGTTTAGTTGAGTGTGATGTTGAAAAAGTGGAGATTTATTGATCAAAAGTAGATTTTTGATCACTTTCTGCCATTGTTGTCATCAGCCCAGTTTGACCTACTTATCAGCGCCTTTGTTATTGAACAGCAGATCCTATAGATGTGAAGTAGAAGCTGTTGAGTATATCATCTGATGGGAGTATCAATGCTTTTCTATGCTGTTACAAAACCCCCACTCAAACAGAAGCTGTGCACTGATTTAGTGCATTTCCTCTGGATAGACTGGCTGTTTTAACATTTATCATTTCACCTCCAACTGACTTCTTTTGTAGGTGATAATGTCAAGGTGTTTGTGGTAGTTTTAAAGGTTTAAAGGTTTTGTTTTTGGGTTAGATTCTCTTCTAGCCTTTGTCTTGGTTCACCAAACCAAGTTAAGTAACACAGCTCTGAGAGTGGTGGTGATCAGGGCAGGTCAGAGTGGGGGAGGAGTGCTGTTTGCACACATTGAAAGCCAGTTTCTAGGAGGTGCATTCCTCTGAGGGCTGTGGGAAGAGGAGTGCTGACATTTTAAAGAACATACGTTGAGCTGCTCCAAGAACTCTAACCTTATCCCAATGAATCTGATCAGGAAGGTGACTTCATGAAGTGATTTATGTGAAAAAAACACCAGTCTGTACTGCTGAAAAATCTGCTGATGGAAGCTTATTAACAAGATAATAATACAATTAAAAATTAGGGTTAAAACTTAATAATCTGCCATCTTTCATAGAAGGAGAGCAGCTCAGAATGCACTGGAACAAAGTGAAGAAACAGCAGATTTAAGCAAAGCAGGCAGATAAAACCAGAGTAAATACTGCATGATTATACAAAAAATCAAATGAAAATTAAGCAAAGTAGGTCCATGCTTCAAATAATTGATTATGCTGGAAAATATCTGCAAAAACTTTGTAAAAGCAACACAAAGTGCTTCCAATAGCAGTTTTTTTAGGAAAAGTTTGAATAGTTTGCATAGAGTGACAGAATTTGCAATGTAGGCTTGTTCAAAACAGTTGAGTGTCTTGTAAACAAGTCAAAGGACATTATCTACATAGTGATGTTTGCTTATAAACTATGTCAGAGGCGAAAAGTCATGGAGATCTCTGAGGCTGTTTGAAAACTGTCAGAGAAACAGACAGAGTTGTTTTTACTGTGTAGACTGTTGGAGAAAGTTAAGGACAGTTCTTTAAAATTCACACCTATAGCTCTAAATCAAAAGTGTATTAAAAAAAGTCCTGCATTGACAGTTTAAGTGTAAGGAGAATAATAGATGTCTCTTCTCAGACAGAAAGCTCTGTATTCAACCAGAGTGATTTGTTTACAAGGCTGTCTATTGATTATGAGATGAGAGGTGTCAGGGATCAGGTGGCTAACCACGCCAGTTACCACACTTCCTATATGTACGCTAGCTGAGAGCAACAGGGTACATCCTCTGCGTGTGAAATCTTTAGTCAAATTCGAAATAGTTTGTGGTTTCAGACATCACACGCGACACTCTGAGGCATCACATCTGAAAGGATCAACAGATCGTGTCATCTGTTGCACGCGATTGGAAACCACTTTTCTGGTGTTATGTCATCAGGAGGAGAAACAGAAGTCTTATAGTGAGCTAATAATACTTTAGGGAATGGCTGTGTGAAATTGGAAATAACTGGTGCTCTTATATGTTTGTTCTTATGATATATGTTCCAACATGAACAAATACAAAAAAATTAGAAACAGGAAAGAGTGTATTTCTTATTTTCATAGATGTTTCTTTGACTTAGAAATTGACTTTAGGTATGTTTCCTTTGAATGAAAAGAACCTTATCTTTTACTTTTGTCACGCTTTGTTCAGCCTAACTAGCAGATATGACACCAAGCCAACAGCATAAGTCAAATAACATTATGTGTGGTAACTTTGTTCAATATTATGACGTTAATAAGAAGTGTGGTGGCTAAACAAGTATTAAAGAGTGCATATGAAATAGAAGAACTTGCAGTTTATATTCTCTATCTGCTATTTGATATGCTTTACACTACCTGCATTGAATTTCCATTCGGGGATCATTAAAGTTTTTCTTCTTCTTCATTTCTCCTGAACCCAAGATACATCCAAAAGCAGTTCACTCATCGCTAAATTGTCATTGATTAATTCGAGATTAGCTCACAGCTGACTTAAAATTTATTCAACTGCATTAAAATGGTGTATAAGCATGGAAATCACACTCAAGCAAGCACCCATCTAATGCCATGCTGAGATAGAAAGTATTGATAGTGTACTTCCAACCATTCACAAATTCATAGCTAAATTTCAGCAAATGTTAATGTAAGTATAGCAATAACTATGCGATTTATTATGCAGCCCTTCTTTGAGAGTACATTTTTTTGCTATGTTCCTGGTTGCACTTTAATCTCAAAAATGTAATGTACAAAGGTAGTTGTTAAAGTTTTCTTACAAAGTAGCAGGTTAAAGCTGAACTGGATCTGAACTGGTTTAAACCGTCCAAAAGTTTTAGTTTGACTTTTGTTCTCTTTCTAATCTGTCCATCTTCAATCTCATGCTGCAGGGGAACGCATCCTTGGCTACACCGAGGAGCCGTGCTATCTCTGGTTTGTCATGGAGTTCTGCGAGGGTGGAGACCTCAACCAGTACATCTTATCCCGCCGACCCGACCCTCACACCAACAGGAGCTTTATGCGCCAGCTAACAAGCGCTGTCGCTTTCCTCCACAAAAACAACATTGTCCACCGTGACCTCAAACCCGACAACATCCTCATCTCACAGAAGTCCGGTTCACCTGTCCTCAAAGTGGCCGACTTTGGCCTCAGTAAAGTTTGTGCGGGCATGAACTCAAAGAACATGGAAGACACCCCTTCAGCAGGAGCAGGTGGCAAAGACAGCAACCAGAACAACATGGTCAACGTCAACAAGTTCTGGTTATCGTCAGCTTGTGGCTCGGACTTCTACATGGCCCCTGAGGTGTGGGAGGGCCACTACACAGCCAAGGCAGACATCTTCGCCCTGGGCATCATCATCTGGGCGATGATCGAACGCATCACTTTCATCGATGCAGAGTCTAAGCGTGAACTGCTGGGCACCTACATACGTCAGGGATCAGAGATTGTACCTGTCGGAGAGGCTCTGCTGGAGAACCCAAAGATGGTTCTGCACATCCCGCAGAAGGCCAGGAGCTCCATGTCTGAGGGGGTGAAGAAACTCCTGCAAGACATGCTCGCAGTCAACCCTCAGGACCGGCCAGACGCCTTCCAGCTGGAGGTGCGGATGGACCAAGTCACGTGTGCAGCGTGACGACCTTCCCCCTTTTAACCCAACCAGTCAAAGAAGGGACCCCTTACTTTCCCAGGTAAGCAACAAGTTCATTTTAAGTTACCAGTGTTGCTTAATGTACCCCCAACTTTAAAACCTACTCCCGATTTTAAAAACAACAAGGTGCAAAAACTTTTGAAAGTGCAATATTTACTGTTCCAAAACAAGTGATAAAGATCTTTTCAAAAAAGCAACATAAACAACAGACAGCCCTGAGATAAAATATGAAAAATGGAAGAAAGTGACAGAGGAAAATCTTTCTAAAAAGTTTGTGAAATAGAATGAGGGGCTGTTTTTGCAGGTTTACCTGTTTGGCTGCTCCAAAATCTAGATCTTGGACAACAGCAGAAGCTCTGACCTTTGAATGGGAGTAAAAAACAGAAACAAAGTTGTCTATGTGTTTTAATGTGATTTTATTGTGATTTCCTGCCAAATGTGATCACTAATGGGGAACTGTTGCATTTTGAATTGTCTGAAAGTGATGGACTGGTCTGTGATTTGAAGAAATGAAAGCATGTATGAGTTACAAGCTGATAAAAAAAAGTGGACATCCTTTTGTTTTATTTTTTACCTGCGGCTCAAAATATTAAGCCTAATCAAAGATAACTTTAAGGTTTGTTGCTAATAACTTTTTTTTTTTTTTGTAAGTTCACTTAGTTTTTCGTTGTTTGAAACACAGCTAAAGTAATTTCACATTTTGTTTACCTGTGATGCATTATCTATGATTTTATTTCAGTAAGACACTTATGAAGAGTTGTAACACCTAACACCTCTAATGGAAGGGTAAAGGTGCATGTCATCTGCATGCAAATGAAAATCGACAACCAACTTTATTTACAGATTATATTGCCAAAAGGAGGCATGTTAATAGAAAACTGCATGGGACCCAGAATTTCACCCTAGAGAACGCCATGGAGTAAAGTTGCAGTTGTTGACATTGAATTCACCATTTACACTACAAACCATTCATTTTGCATGCCAAACCCGAACCAGCCGAAAACCCCATCAGTTCAAACTTATGTAAACAGGCAGTAAGGGCCACGGCAGACTCTTTTTAGAGCAGTTACAGGATAACTGCTTTTACTAAAAGGTCTTGTTTTTGTCACTGACAGGCTCAGGTTGCTATTTTAAGTGTCTGAAAACATTAGAGAAAGAGTCTAAAACGATATGGACTTTTTGGACCAAAGGGGACTATTTGCTCCAGAAAATGCTTATACATCAGTTTTTATGGAGCAGCCAAACTCCACCGACTAAAAACATGTACATTTGACTGAGCATGAAACACAAGTTCCCATATTGCTATTGCACAACAAAATTTGTTTATTTAAACTCTTAAGCACCTTGAAGGCAAGTTTGGATCCAAAATAAAGACTATAACAGAGTCTTATCAAATAGTTAAAGCAGCAGAAAACCAGACAACCGCAATGTTTTTCAAAGTTTAATCATGTTTTTCCGAATGGAGTCTGGTGGCATTAAAGAAAGCACTGTCAGGGTTGTTTTCTGCTTAAAAAAGCATCTTCATTTGAACAAAAATAGCTTATCTCTTCAGGGATCCTTCCTGTAATGTTTTCAGACACCGAGAATAACAATCAAATCCTGCCAGTGGCAAAAAACTAGTATTTTTGGTGGACATAACTCACTGCAATCCCCTTGAAATTGGTCTTAGATAGCAGAGCAAGCTGCAGGTTTTGTAGCCACCCATAAAGAAACATCACAGCAGCTAATGTCACAGAATCATGCTCTTACACTGGAGGGGAGGGTCAGTCAATGTCGTGAGCTGCTGTGGCGATTAAGGGGAATTAGAACCAGTGACACAGGATTCAGCACCTCTGGCTAAAAGGGAACACTGGCCGGTTGTGACCCAGGGCTGAAAACAGGTAATCTTCCTTTCAGCTGACACTGTTAGCCTCCACTGCCCCAGTCACTGACTGCTGCGTCACTGGTTTAATAGCCACAGGTGGTGTTAAGTCACTGGTTTAAATGGTTTAAATGGTTTACTGCCTTTTTTCCACAGATGACCTTTCACTCCTTTTTAGTTGTTATTTACAGCATCCAGTGCTTATGGTGAAACTGACTGAAAGGAGGCAGCGGTATGTTCTCTTTTCATTACAACACAAACTCACTTTACATTTCGCCAACACTCTAGGAGCTCTAACTGCAACTTCAGGGGTCAGACTAGAGCTGGACATCATTTCTCTTAAGTTCAGGTCTTGAAGAAAAAAAATCCCTGTTTTAAGACTTAATGTTTAAATATTAAATACAGCATTTAAATGCACAAAAATTATTTCAGCAGAGTTCAGATTGCAAAGGCACAAAAAGATTCAAGCTTTAGGGCCTAGATGACTTAAAAGTATGAAAATATTTGGAATTCCTCCAATAGACTGGTTCACCCAGCTGCTACACTATAGGCTCCGGTGGTTGCAGGATAATCCTCAGGGGCAAATGCCCCAAATCTGGGTACATCCTCTAAAAGTTCCTCCTTTGTTACTGATAGACTCAAAGCAGTATTCTTCTGCAACTGTTATCCCAATCATTTTAACAGGTATTTAAACTCTGATCAGGCTAAAGGTAAGAAAAAACTCAGAAAACATGGGATCACAGAGTCGGAGGTCCTGTAATGTTGGTTTAGTTTTGGTGCATTTAGTATGTTCATGAAAGTCAGAAATTCCAGTGTTCCTATTTGAAGCATCATTCTGTCCCTGAAGCTGGAATACCTCCTTGGAAACTCTGAGGAACTTAAGTAACCCTGAACTACTGGTTTACACTGTTGCATTGTATCTCTGCTGTATCATATACCATAGGTTTTCGTACTTGCTTTGGTGTACAGTCAACACAGAGTTATAAACAGGATTCATTTTATCGACTTTCTGACAACTAAAAACTGCAACGCGATCAACTGGGATGTGACGTTATTCCTAGCTCCAATATCCCAATCTGGAGGTAACTAGTTGAAAATACAAAGTTGCAGTTGCAGTTTCTTCAGTTGAGTAGTTATAAACCAGTTTAACCTGAAACAGCTTAAATATAACTTAATCTGTGTTTACTAGATCGATAATACTGACAAACCCCACCATGTAATGAGATTCTACCTGCCATCTGTGTCTGTTTACATCAGGATTGTATACCATTATGGCATCATAACAGGATGCATTAACAGAATACAGCTCTGGCTACTGAAGGACAATTGAGCTACAACTTACACATGATCTATGAGCAACATTTTCAGGCCCATAATAACTAAATATTAAAATATGTAGCACTGATTTCTAGAGAAAATGAAGGTAACAGTCCTGTTTGGGTGAAACAATCTATCTCTTTAACAAAAGGTCTGTCTTTGTAGGGATCCGCTCTGCCAAAAGAAGGTCCAAATTTGAAAATAGAGTTCTCTCTAATTAAATACTATTATTGGAGCTGTCTGTTTATAATCCAACTTTGCAGACAAGGACTGCGTGTAAACTACAGCAAGTACAAAAGGACATGTTTGGAGCAGGAAATAACTTGTTAAGCTTAAAGCTATCATTAATCCTGCACATAAAAATAAGATCCAAGTTGTGATAAACAGAAACTTTCATTGAAGAAAACCACAAAAGAAAATATTGAGTGAATTGGTTTAAGAGGCCGTGGGAACCACCGGTCTTTGACGAGAAGTCAGACAACACTTTGGCCCGGTCCTGTCTCCTCAAATAGTTCCTAAGCCTCGATGCTGCTCCTGATTCCTGCCAGAGTCTCCCACGTCACCATTGAGGAAACAGGATTAACAAGAGTGAAAGTATCCGCCCCGCAGAGTGCTGACGTCAGGACTCAGAACTTAGAACTTAGAACATTTGGTCGGCAATTACCATCGTCACTGCATGGCAAATATAGAGGATGAGCAAATACAAAAGCTGATGTTAAGATGTTAAGTAAGAGGAGAGGAAGGCAGGATAGCCATTGGGAAACACACATGGTGCAGGGTGCAACCCCAGCCCTTGGGCAAACATAGGTGTGTTCTGGGAGAGTGGAGCAGAAAACACAGGTATTTGGCATGGGTGCTTTAGCTTGTGGTGTACTGTACATGAGGTTATTCCAGTTCATAATTACACCTGACAGTTAATTACTTCTCCAGTGCCACAGAACACAGAAATCTGACTTTTGTTTGCACCAAAGTGCCGACTGCACACAGTGTACAGGTCACACCTCTCTCTGGTATTTAGGATGTTTCACTGACAATTAAAACACCTCACTTCTGGCTTATTTCCCAATTAATCAAACAGGAGCAGAGCTGCCTCTTTATGTTTTAATTCAGTGGCATTTATTCAGTTTTGTGTATTTGTTTTTGATGAGTGATTGGAACTTGGCTTCACATGCAACACATCTGTTTTTGCTTGTCATTCAAGTCAAGTATGCAGTATTTATCAGAACAGACTTTTATAACTGCCTTCATTATTGTGCACTTGAAATCGATCTTTTATGGTTGCATGAGGGGCAAGTTCCCTTAGATTTCCATGTTTCTACAGGAGCCCATAATAGACAAACTGTAGTTTTAGATATTTTTAATGGTTACAAACTTGACAAATGGATGATCATATTTCTTGTACATCAGGAGCTTTTTGTGATTTAAGGCCACTGTTACTTCTCCAACTGGAGGGGTGAGCATGGGGGCATTACAACTCAGAATGGGACCACTAGATATCGCGCAATATTCCCACTTCTATGCACTGTACCTTAGAGCTTTCTTTCAGTTAAACTACAAAAATCCTCCACACCCTAAGAGCTGGTGGCAACAAATCCTAATGTTGTCAAAAAATAAAGTTTGAGTGAGACATGCAAAACAGTTTTTTTTTAAATTTGGCTGGATTACCTTGTAGCAGAGACATCTTTTTCTGCACAAATAGAGAAAATCTCAATGTTATTGGCCAAGTATACAGACACTAACGCATGACCTACTGTAACTGAGATATCTTGCCCCCCCTTTATGTGTTTACGGTCATTACCCATAACTTAATCACTTCACTGTCTAATTAAAGGTCCATTTTTAATTAGTCCTATGTTAGTTCAAGAGCTATTGTTCTCTCTGGGAAAAGTCACAGCCATAATAGACCTAATTCCATTTGTGCAAGAAAATGTAAAGGTTCTAAAAGCTTCTATTTTGCCCATTTAGAATAAACTGCTGAAACTGAGATAAGTTAACGTCTGAAAGCTCTCTGTTGATGCAACAGTGGAATTTTCTAACTCTGTTCAAGCGTCACAAAAGAACTATTGGACAGGCCATCAACCGCTATTGACTGTGATTTGTCACACTGCACAGTCACACTGCTGTTATCTTAGTCAACTCTTAGTCCCGTCAATACTGTCAATTACAGTTACTCACTGAATGCTTAACTTATGTTGCACAAACCACAGAACACTTTGGACCTTTCAAACTTCGTTTGTCAAACACAGCACATGTTTTCAGCACGGATATTTAAGTGGGGGAGTAAGGAGGAGGTGGATAGTGAGCAAAACGAAACTTTATTAGTATAGAAAAATGCAGCTGAGAGTGTTTTTTAGTGTAAACAGTATAAACTGATATCAAAAAAACAATTACAAAAATTGTAAAGAGTGCCATCATGATAATTTTCTTGGAACACTAAAACAGGACAAAGAAAAAAAAAAAAGATATAATATAAACTCAGAGGTCTTTGTTTCATCAGAGCTGTTTCATTAGTGTAACCAGAAAAACTGTTCAACCATCTCAGCTTCAGGATTCATGACACAACTCAGTCCACTTCACTGCCTCCTGGAATAATATTTAGGTTATTGTTGACAAAGTCTCCTGTCTCCTACCCTCCCAAAACAAACATCCCCGCCCTGTAGGAAGTAACTTTTACTGCTGCCATGGTGTCCTCAAAGTGTGTCGCAGTAAGACTTTAATTGTCTCAGTTTGGTATTTAGAGCGGAAACATCTTGCAGCGCATCAATCTGCCGCCGCGTTGATGTTCACTGACCCGAACGGTTCGCCCGTTGTCTGAACTTGAACTCTTCATTGACCAGGACTGAACCCCTTGTTTCGTGCGACAATTAGGGCTGACCAGCTCTCGTTAACCCTTCCTTGTAAGCCCCGCCCGCCCCAGAGATCCCGCCCCCTCCCTTCGCCCTGTGACGTAACCGCTCTCCTCAGTTCCCAGCTGGCTCAGAAGGCGAGCTTGCGTGCTGGAGACTGGCCTCATTCTCTCGCAGGATGATGGGATAGCATGTTATGCAACGAGCCTTGCTGTGCTCTGGTTCAATGGGAAAACCTGTCATCTGTTGGATGGGGAGATTAGGGGCTGTAAACACACAGGGGAGGGGACGCTGTGTGTATTTATGTCAGGAGCTGGTTAACTAGGTGGAGAGCTGACGACAGCACAGTGAGGAGACATGACATGGACAGAAACACTGAAAGTGATGACACTACAGATTGAACTGACATTGTTTCTGGAAGCGTCTATGAGAGCCAGGCTGCTCTCTGATGAGATGAATCTGTTTACATTTAATGATTGCTGAAGTTATTGATCACGTAACCTTTGAAAGACTGTTATCATACTTACCAACAGGCTACAAAATACATCAATACCCAAAGCTGGACTTTTTGTCCTCGTAACTGCACACTTGTGAAACTTAAGATTATTGTCTAAATTCAAAAATGGCTGTTACTTTTCCCGGCTCTTCCCTTTGAATTACTTGTCTTAGACAGGCTTTGTCTGCATGAGATGAAGCAGGAATAATGGTGGGAAATGTCCAGCTGCCGAGCTGTCCAAGATAGAAACAGCAGAAAAATGGTGAGACTCTAAAATCTGGATCCAGCAGCTCAGAACAGAGCTTTGTATGTGTGAAGCTTTCTCTGTTTGTTTACATGTCTCTGTTATGACCCGTCTAGACACAGCATGAACAAAAGACCCATTTCCTCCAAGTCCCAAGCAGCCACATGGACAAATAACTGGAATTACAACCGCACAAGGATTTATTCACAGAAAACAAATGAACTTACAATGATTAGGAATCATTGGAATTAACTTCAGGCTGATTCAAGAGCAACATACCACACAAACTAACCAGAGAAAACAAAGAAGCTAAAACATGTATTTACTGTATATTAAGCACCAGTGCTGTTTGCTTACACAATACACCATTATGCATTCATTTGGAGCAAATATACCCATGTCTTTGTGAAAAAGCGGCAATTCTTCGAGGCCAGAGTGCTAAAAGCCACGTGCAGCTGAAGAGACATTTTACCTGCTGTTATTGAGTATCTATCAGTGCCTCAAGGCTCGGACTCTGAAGTTATGACAACAATTCTTCCTCTGGAATAATTTACCCATACACAAGTCTGTTTATATCACTGTGACATCCTCTTCTATAATAAGTCTAGGACTGTCTGTGGCGCAACACCCCTTCATACAGGCTATGACATGACGCACAATGGAGCTGCTCTTTACTAGTTCACCTTAGGGAGTGAGTTGGTTTTAAATGGTGGCGTCTGTCACATCTGTCATGAATTGAACTCCACAATAAACTGGTGAGGACTTCCTTCCATCCCTCCAGGGTTAGAGCTCACAGAGCAGATCTGAGCAGTTGAGAGTAAAGATGCTAACAGTAAGTGAGAATCTCAGTCATACAGAAATAAAAAATATGGAGCAAACTACAGGAAGACGGCGTGTGATGCAGTTCATCATGTTAACCGTTTTTGTTTATTAGCAGTTATAAGTGGCAGAAAAATAAACAAATACAATGTCAAGGTGAAAAGTATAATCCAGTTACGTCTGCGCCCAGTTTCTGTATGTCTTAGCAATAAAAAAAAACCCTATAGCCAACTTTAAAGCTCCTGGGAGGATTCTTAAGTATGTCAGTTTTGGCGCCCCCTGTTGACAAAGAAGTCAAAATTGTACTTCACAAGCTTCAGATGTGTCCCTTTTGAAAATTGTACATCAATTGCCCTTATTTGATGGAACAGCTGAAGAGAGACAGGGTATGAGGGAAGAAGAGAGTGGGGGAGTCAGAGGTAAACAAAGGGTCAGCAACAGATCAGCAAAGGATCGTAGCTGGGAATTGTACCAGTTACCGCTGCAACGAGAACTATAGCCTCTGTATGTGGGGCACTTCAGTGTCCCTTAAGTAGAGACTTTTGATAAACAATCTCCCATGTTGACTTTAGACAGTCAAACATATCACTTATTTTATATATTTTATGCAGGAATTATTGAAACAGGGCTGTTTCTTTATTTCCTTGGCTGACCACCACCACCACCACCACCAATGTCAGGCATTGAAAAAAATCTCCCAAAACCCTGAAATTTGTTGCTGATGTTCTTGTTTGATTTAGATGATTGTGAAAAGGCAATAATATGAATGTCTGCTCACTTCATGAATGTCAAAAATCTCCTCAAAGGAGCTTTAATGGCACTGATGTGTATCCATGTTTAGTAAATCAGAGCCATTTAACATTGTCAAAGGATGTTTGTGGTTTTTACGTGGTTTAAAGTAATAAGTGATTCAACTACAGTAAGTAAGTAGTTAATGTGCTTTTAAAACCACTAAAATGCCTAATGTTTAAGTAGTTGCCTGAGATAAGTCACATGACAATAACAAAAAAAAAAAAAAGATCTATCTGATCAACAGGTGACCCCTGTCGTTTGTGGTATGTGATGATTTCTTCCAGTTAATAAAAACAGATCTGTTTGGATTCTCTCCTGATGTCACAAATCAGAGTTTGTCTGCAGCTAAAAACAAAGTCTCTCATTCACTGAGATCAGGGTGATGCTAAGTGATGTAAGGGAGTAGAAACTGCTCATTTGAAATGCTGAATCTTTAAAGTCCTGGATCAGGAGCAGGAAATCCCTCCAAAAATTATACCCACAGCATCAAAACAGAACCATGTGTTTCCGTGTTTTCTGTGACATCCTTCTGCCCATCATCTACCTCACCCTCCCTCCCCCTTTCTCTCTCTCTCTCTCTCTCTCCGTGAGTGGACAATGAGAGTGCTGCTCTTGCTTCGCAGCTTACAGATTGAGTCTGGAACATTTTGTCCTCTCGCTGCCTGCCCATGAGCCTGCCATGTGCCGCTGCCGTCTAAACCAGGACAGAAAGCTGTGAGCCTCTGCCCTCCCCACATCCACAGCGTTACTTTGGGAATCTTTTTTTACTTTACTGATAGCATGAGCCAACTTTGTACAAGTTGAGGCATTTTCAGGGTGTTGTCTTTGCAATGCATGCATGGATTCCTCCATGTACTTTATAATCAATACAGATGCCCTCAAGCAGGTTTTTATCTTTGCGTTTTTTTTTCTTCCCTTTGTAAATAACTTTCAAGAAAGACACCTGGTTTTCAGAGAAAGCCTTCCCTGCTCCTCTTCCTCAATTTGCTGTATCCAAAACTTAATTTCCTCCAGAGTTCAGTATGTTCTCATTTGACTCAGACAGCAGGGGGTATTTTAAAGGGCCTTGCCAGAGGGAGGCCACCTTTATGAGATTTTTGGGAGTGGGTGTGATGAGCGCATTGGCGTTCTTATGTAACATGCTCGTATAAGTGAGCTTTCAGTAGCTGAGGAGCTTGTAAATATTTCCTTTGGGCCCTCAGGGTTCTGAGCCAGAACCGCAAAAACAAGTTTCTACACAAATGATCCTGGTGAAACACGTCTTTGTTTTCTTGTGTTTATTCCACAGACGGAAAGTCAGGCAGGAAAGCTTGAGTTTACTTTGACTTTCAAGTAATTTCTCCATGAAAATAAACAGATTTGATGCACCTCCAGCTCCCAGTACAATTGGGAAAGGTCTAGAAAGTCCAGCGGCGCTCAGTTGTGCCACGTAACCGCATCTTTTCCACACCGCTGTGCTCATTCATGGTGGCTGTGTCGCAGCTAATGGGTTGTAAGCCCTTAACACCGCGTTAATCTCCCTGCAGAGTGAGCACTATCTATCAGAGCCACATAATTCGCTGCAGGTGCTGAACACAGTCATATTTTGGCTGCTGTGGTTCCCTGTATGGTTTAAATGGCTCTGACAGGCAGACAGGGTTTATTTTGGCCTGTAAATAATAGATGGAAACAGGCGTGGTCAACATCTGCTGTAGAGAGCTGGCTTTGGTTTGTCTCTGCTTTGTAATGTTTGGACGTGCTGTGTCACTGTTATCTACTGACTACTACGATTTTTCTTTTTAAAACTGGTCACACAGTTGTAAACAGCTGCAATGTAATCCCTTTGGGCAGTTATAGTAGATCATAGAGAGTGAGCAAAAAGTACAGGCTCAGACAGACACAAACTAAAGATTTTAAAGTTGTTTAAAACATGTAATATTGCCACCCTGACTAGTCTGCACCAGAGCTAGTAATCAAAAAAGTTTTCACTATAGGTCAAAAATGGTGGTCATCTTTTCTGTCTAAGCTGACTACCTTCAACCAAGGCTGTAGCTCCGGTTTATAGATACCTCCATGATGGTGTAATGCTCTACCACTCGGCTGTAAACAGACACAGATGCGAGTGGTATCAATGTGGCCAAGTGGGAATTCCAGTCTTAAGAAATGAAGTCAAGGACGAAGTGCTGAAAACTGATTAAACAGGCATATAAACACCGACCTGTTTTGTACCCTACAGACTCTGGTTTTCAGTGTGTTTGATAAATTGTGCTCAATCTTGACTGGTGTCTGATTTTTTTGTCTATTCACACCAGTCAGCCAGTCAGAATTTGAATTACAATGTCAATAACTGTTAGTTTAGTTGTCAAAGAATCATCCCAAGTTCCCACAAGTAAATCAGTAGAAGACCAAAGGCGACTTTAGATTTTTTCTAGATAATATTATGGGCATTTGATGGTGTTTCTGTTTGAAAAAAGGATTTAATGGAAAGAGACCTACATATTTGAGAAAAGTTTTCTGCATCATTGTCTGACTCTTGGAATAAGAATCTGATTCTGTCAGTGATGAAAACCATTATTTTCGTCAGGCCAGTTTATCCCAGATACTCCCACTGGTGGTCTTACTGCCTGTGTGGAGTTTACTGAAGTCAAGAAACTTTGGTGTGTATTGATCATAAGCAGACTCATGACATATAAACATATAGTCTGACAGAGGGGTTAAAAAATACAGGTTTGTCCTCTGAGTTTTTTATGCTGGTCACTGTTTTCTTGTCGGAGCTCCTCCTTTCGATGTTTTACTTTTCTAGATTCGACCGGATTTGTTTTGGTGTGCCGTTTGTTTTTGGTCGACTTTCGGAAACACTTTGTTCGTTCTGCATGAAGAGGACCTTGGAGACACACACCTAAACTTATATAATGACCAGTTTTCGTGAATGTTCGCCAAGCGGAATGTGTTACACTGCATGCCACTGGGCCACAAAACCACCCGCAGCTCGTAAAACGCCAACACTCCGTCTCTGACTGGTTATCATAGAGAAAGCTGCCACAGTGTCCTGGCCTCACAAGAAACCAGCCCCCACCACTTCCCCAAAGATACCGGTCTCTGCTGGTTTTTAACGAGACAGTCTACTTTTGGGTTATGCAACAACAAATGGCTGAGGCTGAGGAGGCAGCAGGCCTCAGTTTGTCCAGGATCTGCTGGGCTCAGCCCTCGTCGTGTTTCCTCTGTTTTGCTTATTTATGCTGCAGTAATAAATCCAACAGAGCAACACGCAGAAAGCTGATACGCTGACCTTAGCAGCCCAGACGAGAGGGTAAACTGTTTAAATGTTGGAGCATGTTAGTTTTATTGGGGTTTTATCTTCTTGGACAAACCTCTTCACACACTCTGGACTGTATTGATCCTCTCAGTTTAAGGTGAGAACTGAGAAGACGAACATTCAAGACATGACTCCTTAACGCTACTTTTGCTGAGAGCTGCAACTTCTAGTCTGCTTCGCAACCTGCTGCTCCACTGCTGGGTGGGAGAGACAGACATAACCCCTTCCTCTGGGGGAAGGTCAGAGGTCAGAGACCCTACAGACCTGACAGAGATTTAGTGTCTTGTCATAGGACACATGAACAGTTTGGTTACTTCGAGCTGTGCCCTGGTGTTGGATTACTTTACCTCCACCCACTTTGTCTCAGTGCAGCTACATGTGACCCAACACCCTTGCTTGGCATGTGACTGCATTTAAACTTCATTTATGAATTATTTGCCTCCCAAAACCATTTCTAGGCCACATAAAAGCAGCTAAATGCACAGTTGTCCAACAGACACCCTGTGATTGTCTGTCCACCTGATGATGGTGAGCCCTGCTTTGGATCTGATATAGGCCTACATTACTTGTCCTGCCTGAAAGAGTGCAGAAAAAAACGCTGTGAAAATTCTCCTGTGGACTGCTCAGAAGGCGACCGTGACACAGCTGCAGAGCTGCAACCTGATCCTGTCAGGAAATCTTGTGCAAACAATGACACTCAGCTCGCCTATTGTCCAGGGAGGTAAAATGAATGTTTTTGTCAGAGGGGGTTTGTCGGCTGTGAAGTGAGAGATATAACCACTAAGAAGAGGAAGCAGAAAGACTAAAAGTGTTACTTGGCTTAGTAAAAATGCTGTTTAGTTTGTAGAAACACCAGAGACGTGATTGTCTGATCACCATCAACCAAGAATCATGCCACAACACCATTATAACAAAATCACAGTTGATGAAATTTATTGTATTACAATACTTTACCCAGAAGATTGGTCACAAACATTTTTCTCACAAAATTCAATGCAGACTTTTTGACATCAGTTAAAGTCTCCATGCAGGAATAGATTTTAAATCTGTTTCCAGCTGAGAAAACCCCCCAAAACACAAATGGTGTCTTATATACCTGTGCAACTTACAAAACAGTTCATTTGCAAAACAAACACGAACTATTTCATTTCATTTTTTAAAACACACTGGTATCTAAAGAACTACATTGTTATTTCAAACTAATTTTCACAGTGACGCATCTACCATTTTCTTAAAAAAAATGGTTAATCCCTTTTTCTTTTTTGGCGTCCATAGTCACTAGCCCTTTGTACTCAGACTCTGAACCCACATCATTGTAGTACTGGTGTCCCGTTGTGTAATTGCTCATCAAATTGTGGTTTCAAGAGCTCAAACCATCATGTAAACACACATCACATGTGCATTTGTTCTGTTCTTCCAACAGTGTCTACAATGTTGCCGTGTCGCATCTGTTTCTGCCTTTGATGCAACCTCAGCTGTGAAACAGCTTTGCCCCACATGTGACATTTGAATCTAACCAGCTTTGTGAAAGAAACCTCTGTAGAACTCCTCTCCTCATTACTATCAGACACTTAAAATAATCAGTGTATCAGCTGCAAAGGCAAGAAACAGGACAGACTTTGATTTGGTTCATTTGAAGATAAAGGCGTTTCAGTGTTCAGAAAAAGGGCCCTGGGTTTCAGCTCTAGAAATCCCCTTCAACACTTTATACAAAAGATGCTAAGTGTAAAATAATGGACATGATGTCCTAAACACGTAACAGTCTGTCCAACAGATTCAGTTCATAATGCAAACTCTTCTTTTAAATAGCTTAAGTGTTCATCTGCAAGCTTGACTGTCAGACCTTTACTGTCCCTGAAAAGACAAACAGTCATTGTACTTTCTCCTGTTAAAAAACAGCTTTTATTTTGAAAGACAGCACAGCAACAGAAACCAGTCATTTTTTCACAAGCTCCGTGTTTGTCAGAGCTGTGCTGATGGAGGCGTGATGCTTTCACTGTCGTCAGAGCCCGTAAAGTTGTGCAACAAATCCACGAATGGGCGTTTATTCAGGTGTGGGAAACATGCTCGTAAAAAGAGTCTGAGGTCAGTGAGTTCAGAGAGGATGGTTACAGCAGTTACTGGAGCGACAAGTGAAGGAGACAATTAAGAAGACGCTTAATCGTTCTATTTGGACGAATTATCATAAAAATGAATGAATGAAAGTTCGAGATATTCTGAAAAAACTTCAGAAACCACTGTCTGTCCACACATTTGATGTTGCTGTAAAAATTGACATTTTGAAATGAACTCTAATAGAGATTTATGTTTTGTTTTGTTTTGTTTTTTGGGACACTTGGGAAGCCGCAGTTTTATGTGTTCAACAGTGACTTCACTAGAAGTTTCCTCTTGTCAGCAGCATTATCTAGCAGTAACTTTAAGGAATGATGAGCTCTGTGATCTCAGTGAAAGGATTACTTGTGTTTTGCGTGAACACTGTGTCCATATTTTTGTTAACAGTACACGGTATCTTACTGTACATTTAAAGGGATTTAAAAGTGCTCATCCTCAGCGGTGACATAAGCACTTTCTCTGTCCCCATTCTGCACATCATCATCCCTTATTCACCATCTCCAGCCTGCGTGCTTCCAGCTAAGCTGACCCACTTGTGTCCAAACCATGTGCTGAGAGGTTACGCAACCCAAAAAGAGGAACAAACCGCTGCCACTCCAAACTGCTGCTGCTGCTGCTGCATGTCAGCCGCTGGGCTATTTTTAGAGCAGAACGCTGGACTAAACCTGGACTCCTCCACAGGCAGGAAATAGTCCCAGGTGTCAGCTGGTGGTGTCATCCTGCTGCAGGTAGATGGAGAGGCAGTATCAGGGTGTATTTACAGAAACACAGCCATTATGGACAGCAAGGCAGAGTTTGATGAGTCATTACTGCCTTCAGGGGACAGATGTACTTCTTCTGATGCTTGTAGCAGGAATGCAAAAAGGAATTCTTGATGTTTTATATAAGAGGCACAGGTGGTTTTTGATAAAGGACGGAGTGTGACGCATGAGCCCCAACAGCTTTTAACAGTTGTGTTTTAATAAAGATGCAGCTCATCTGCATGCATATTCGTAAGGGTATGAAATATGAGCATACGAAAATCAGACAATGATGCAGCATGCATGTATGCATGAATATCTCTGTGCACTACAAAGTTTGGCATTTTCCAAAAATACATGAATACTGGTCAGATACAAACTCTTTGTTTGTCCTGAATGTAATCAAATGTAAACTTACTTATGTCAGACGTTTGAAGGAATTTCACAGCTCCATGGTCAGAATAAAATCTTTGAGTCTTATTGAAGTCATGGCGCTCAAGTTATCCCAATCATTAGATGTAAAGAACTCATAAAACTAAAGCTGAGCTTCCATACATTCTCCTTTCCTCATCCTGACATCAAAATAAAATCTAGGAGTGATATATGCAGCACCAAGACACAGAACATTGTGGGTTGCTGTCAGCATGTCCTCTCTGACTCTGACCCCTCAGTTGAGTGCTTTGCTGTTTGAACATGGTTTCCACCCTGCAGCGGTTTGCTCCAGTAAACTGGTGAAGGTTCGCTGCGCTGTATTGCTGGCCTGCTAGTATATAACGCCAACCGTGCTAAGCCAGAGCAGATAACACAAATCCCTGCACACACAAAATCCAAACTATGACCAAAAGCTGCTCTTTAAACTGCTCCATTCATTGTTTTATTTCTAGTAAAAGAAATTTACACCTTGAGCATGATGGGAAATAATCTCAAAAGATGTTTCAGTTTTGCAGTGAGCCAGCTTTTGCAAAATGCTATACATCGGGGAATGCTGAATTTAGTTTTTAAAAGTCCTCACTTGCATTTGTGCTCATTAGGAATCCTCTACCAAGTGTTTGTCATGCATGACCTCAGTGCCCTCAATGTGACAGACCTCATCTTTATTTAGGACGACATTGACTGATGGTGGCACGCTACAAATGTCTGTCTCTTTCTTCGAGTGGTTTCAGTTCCAGTGTTACATTTTTTGAGTCCAGATTGTTTTTTGTCTTTAATTCTTATTCTGCCTCTTACTTTTTATTCTTATACATCAAAATTTGGTTTTAAGTATTGACAGAATACCAGAACAACATGCATTTGTTTGCACCAACTTAACTTTTTCATTCTATGTCAGAAAAAAGTTGAATTAAACCTCATTCATTGCTTCTTGTTAATGTTCTTTTTTAGCCAGGACTCGCTTGTGACATTTTATATCTCAGTTTCTCCAGTAAAGTCAAGGTTTAAACCATGTAAGATAAGATAAACCTGAGTTCAGAATCAGATCTTTATTGACCCACAAGAGAAAACTTGAGCATGCAGTATAAAAATGGGGATAAAATCAACGATAGAGCGAGACTGAAAAACGGGATAATACCATAGATAATACCACCATCCAAACAGATCACATTATGAAGAGGCAGATTTAAATACAGCGGTGATAACAACAACAGACAAAAAGCAAATCAAAACCCGAATGACCAGAATGAACTTGTAAATCACGTTGGGGCACCAAATTGGCACAAAGCTAAAGTTTCTCACTGGAGCTTTAAGTTCATGAATGTAGTTTGGGTTAAATGAGACGTGCTGACCTGTTTCTGTCTGTTTTTGTGTCCCTGCAGCTTTGTTTACGACGTGGACACAGACTCGACAACGACGGACAAAAAGGGACTCTGACAAACTCAACTGTGAAGAATCCACAATCATAACCTGAGCGGGAAGAGACCATGATGATTCCAAATCTCTGAGACGTGAACTGTATGCAAACTCAGACTACAGTGTACTTCCAGTTACAATCACTGTCACCCCGCGTGGTCGGTGTCTCTGAGAGTGGACTGGATGTGAAACCAGGTTCAAGACATTTGTTTTCATTTTGATATTTGATGATTTTTTTTGTTCTGGTCATCCCCATCACAGGCCTGCTCTTCTTTAACATTTGTAATTGGCTCTGCCGTGGCACAGGTGACTTTAACGTGGATATGTTACATTTTACACTGATGGTTAAGAGTCGGAAACTCTTTCTCTATTACTTTCCCCATTCTAACTTGTGCCTTAGAGATGATTCACAGAAGTGCGATTGGATCTTTGGAAATGAAAAAAAGCAGCGAAGAAACTGAAGTCTTGAGGATGAAACTATGTTTGACTCATTCATTTCTCTGTCTGCAGACGTGCAGCTCATGGTTAGAAACTCTTGCTTTCGAAGACATCAGAAAAACTGCAATAATGAAAAGTAAAATGCAAAAATTTCTGCCCTCTTTTGTAAAAACCTGAGTATTAGAGATCATTCGCTTATGACGGAAAGACAAAGAGGATTTTTTACAAACCTGTGCCGCTGTGTGGAAGCAGGAGCAGAGCAAATGTGGACATTTTAAAGGTGAATGAAAGGATTAAACACCTTTAAGAAGCAGCAGGCCTGTTTAAACTCCATTCAGTAATGTGCTTTTTGTAACCAAACATCGTCCAGCAGGAGATTCACCCTGGTTTATTGGCCCTATTTCAACCCAAAGAGCACCTGCTGGATTTATTATTATCTTTATCTGTTTTTATCATCACTGCATCAGTTGGTGGGTTTTTGGTAACTTTGTACTGAATGTTTTTTATATATATCGAGGATATTGAGTGTGGCATTTAAGGAATTCTTAAAAATTCATGTAAAGTTTGAAAACAAGATATGGAGTCAGTGGTTAACTTGCAACCATGTCATAAAGAGGTATTAAGGAATGTTTTTGTAACAGCCTGACACCTCAGCAGTATTGAGCCCTCTGTGGCTAAATCTTGAGTTTTTTTATTTTCGAGGACTTTCTCAGCAGATTTGAAGGTTTTCCATCTGGAAAAAATCTCCAAAATCCATCACGACTGTCCTATCCTCCTTCATTCCTTCAGCTCTTTATTGAAATGCGTCAAGCGATTTGCAGTGGCATGTAATGCTGTGTGCATCAAACTCAGGCAGTGTGAGGTTAAAGCCTTCGCTGTCTGTCTGGTCTAGTTCATGCTGTGATCACAGACTGTATATAAGAGATGGACGTACCTCACTTTTCAGGGTTGTAGACTTCCATTCAAGAGCCTCTGCTTTGCATCTGAGCCGTTTCTATCTTTGTTAAGCCTCCTGTGAGGAGTTTTAAATGGTTACAGAAAACAACAGATTGAATGTGGTGTTTTTATGAGCTACAGAAACAAAAAGGGACCGTCATCAACAAGTTTAACCTTCTCTGTTTAGATATTATTCATGCCTTTAACCACTACAGCTAGGTCTGTGTCACAGGTTGATTAACAGTACAATGGAGAAACAGCACTCTCCCTTGTTTTACACCAGCAATATTCACCTCAAATTAGCGTTTAAAAAAGCAGGATGTTCAGAAAAAGATGGGAAGTACCACTTTTACCACAGGGGGTGCCACATCAGCAGAAAGAGACTTTACAAGACATTACAACAGGAAAGACCTGTTACTCTTACTCAGCTGAGAACTTAATTTCACACAATAATGTCACCTTTGTTTGCAGGATGCTTTTATGACTCATGTAATCATGATGTTAAGTGAGTGGTAGTTTTAAGAAGCACAAAAAAACCACTGAAGTTTTACCGTAAGTCATGTAAGATGAGAGAAAGCCTCGTTCCCTGGGGAATAAGCAAAAGGCAAGTCGTGAAAACTTACTGTAATTCCTGTAATATAGGAGCAGTTTGGTTTCCTGGGTTCTTTCAGGGGTGGAAAATTATTCTAATAGTTATGAATATCAAAGTCTTAACAGGTAATGTTAACACAATGCAAAATCCTTTTTATTAAAAAAGTATTTGAGGCTCTGAGAATTTCACTTAAATTCAATCAGAGATCATCAGGGGTAAGCTTCATTTTTGAGGGATTGGATCTGAACAGTCCCTTAAAATAAACTGAACACTGATTTCTCCTGTGGGATAGAAAATAACCTGCATTTCATAGAAACACTAAATTTATTGCAGAAAGCTGCCTGTCTCAAGAAGGGAGCGGAATGTAAGTTGATACACTGTTCTGTATTTAGAGCTGATATTATAAGCACAACAATGTCAGTTCATATATGAAACTGTTTTATATACCGCTCCTGTCTACTATGACTTCCTCACTGTCAGTAAGGGAACTATTCAGCTTAAAGGCAAATGTTGTTGATGGCTTAAACTAGTTGGAACTGGACCTCATCTCTGTACTTAAATTACTGTAAAGTGTGTTAACTTTCCAGCATGACAAGTGCAGGAACATACTGTTAGCCAGCTGACAGTAAGTGGCACGTGAACAACAAAGTTTTAGCTGGATTAAAGTGCCAACTTCTTGTGGAAACTTCTTAAGAAAAGGGAAAAAACCCCTCTTTGTATGCTGGTGTACTGGCTGCCCTATCAAGTAGGACCTAACCCACTTTGTAGATGAAACATAAGCTATGAAAAGAGCATCTCATACACCAAGCTTTACGGTAATTTCTGAAAATGTGTAGCCCCGCCTTTGTGCACACTCTGCTTGACCATCTATTTATTTAAAGAGGGACCATCATTTCATAACAAACATCATCACACGGTTTGACTTCACTTTTCTCACTCCGATGGTACGTCCACGTCTTACTTACAGTCTCTGCTCCGTTCATGAAAACTGATCACAGCATGTTGGCTGATTCACAGGTCAGACTGTACTTGAAACTACTTTTACTTCCAGGAAAACAGAAAGAACAAAATGCTCAAGTTCAAATCTACAGGATGCTTCTTACATAGGTTAAACGCACAGCACAAAGTTTCAAGAAGAGGAATATCATTTAGAGTTTGTACTTTCAGACTTTCTGACACAGATTTTTATAGCACCGTGTGGTTTCCAGGCCCAGTTTAGTAACTCCACAGTAGCAGCCGTAGACTCTGAGGCATTTTGTGGTGTGTCCTACCTCATTCTCAGCACTCTGAAATATCTAATCTACCTAAACAGTCTCATTAGCCCAGTTTTAGTTTCTGATTTTATTTTTACCTCAGACTCTTGATCTTGAAACAACCTCTGACTAACTTCTCTGTGTGGTATTTTTCTTTGCTGAGCTCGTGTTGGTTTCATTCAACAATTACAGCTCCCATACTGCCAAAAAGTGTCCGAAGGTGTCCTGAAAATACCTACCGATGGGTAAAGGTGGTTTTTGATGCCACTGGACAAGTTTGCATAAGAAGACTCTTCATGAAAGTCTCTTTCACTCACGCAGCCCTAAAAATTTACAAAATTTTCGATAGCTATCTCTTCAGAACCTTTTTGTGTTGCTCTTTCTGGGTTTTTACAGGCCTCATGGTATAAACATCATCATCAGCTCACACCAAAATATGACATGAGGGCTGACAGAGAAATGTCTTAGAAAAATGCTTGAATTCACACATGCAGCTCATCCTGAAACTTTGAGGAAGTTTTGGGGAGTTAGGTGCATGTGTGAAAACTGATTTGGATGTGGCTTTTGTCCAGAGGAGCGTCCTTTTAAATTACAGCCTTATTGATATGTTGGTTCAGGCATATTGCACACCATGTAAAACTTCTTAGGCTTTTATTTGTTTCGATCTTACCTTCATTGGGGACAAGCATCAATAAGAGATGGGCCTATGTTCTCATAAAGTCTTCCATGGCCCAAACCAAAATATATTAACACATATAAACTAATTTACAGGTTTTGATAGCTAGCCCATCACTTTTTCATCAGAATCAGAAAACAACCTTATTTTCAGGCCTTATTCTTAAATATACCCCTTTTAATTCAAAAGTAGCACTTATTTTATTTATTACCACAATTGTACAATAAAATCACAGTTTTTGGATTGATGGGAGCTGTAGTTCTTGGACACTAACACAGCTAACGCTGTCTTTCAAACATGAAGGTTTTCAGTTTTGCGATGAGAGTTGAATTTTCCAAGAAGGGTTAGTGTAAATCTGTGATCGACTCTTTGGGATGTAGAGTATCTGACCTGCTCGGCAGCGTCCAATAATCTCCCTGTGTTGTGAAGTGTTAACTATAGCATGGTTAAAGACTGTAAATGGCATTGCTGTGGTTGATAGTGCATACGCTAACTGAGGATCTTTCTACTAAACCTTGTTGTCAACTGACCTGCTGTCTCTGTATCTTTCAGTTTCATCTCTCTCCTCTTCAGACTAGATATAAATCCACTTGAAATCACTTTACACTATGCAAAATGTGTCACTGCCTCACTGTAAACACCGTACAGAGCCACACCGTTCTCAAACAAACTGTGTATAATATCTCTGTTCTTTTTAGTGCATATTTCCAGTGTGTTCATAAATAATGTTTCAGATGTTGTGTAAAATAATGAAGCTGACAGGAGCCATTAGATGTTTGACAAAGCATCGTGTTTTTTGCTGTAAATATGTTTGACAATTTTCTTGGAATAAATGATCAAAAATAAAACAACCTGGATTTTATGTGTTTATGTGACTGTTAACGTGTGAAAGATGGGACCAAAACCTGGATTTATATTTGAAATTGGTCATGTGTTAAAGCTTAAAGTTTGAAACTAACATAAAGATATCAAAGTTAATGACTGATTAAGAGCAGATATCATGATTACTTTACAGCAGCAGTAGTGGTAAAAAAATTATTGGGAGAAAGAAGAGAAAAACTTAGATCCCTTATTGAACTCCTTTCAGCAGGCGCATCTACACTAAAGCAGTTTACCTGAAGAAGAGAGGGGATCCAAACCTGCTCTGACATCGTAAGATAGATCACAGACAACTTGAACAAGATCATATGGCCTTAAAGATTTGATTCAGGGAACTTTGTGGATATAATGTTTCAGGATTTCATCTTTTACTGGACTTGGATTGTGGTGAAAAAAAGCAAACCATAATACAGACAAAAAGAGTGACTATTACCACTTAATCAGTCCAAAATGAAAGGTAGTTGATCCAAAAAGGCCTTAAGCTGGTTCATAAATTTGCTAACTTTGGCCTCGCCCACAAAAGGGGTCATCCCTGTTTACAAACACAAAATTATCCTGTTCAGTTTATGCTAAAAACTGGCACAATAAATAGCCCCAAATTATTTAATTTACAACTGAATATGATTATCTCTACATGTTTTTAATTCTTCCATAAACTTGGACATCTTAACATAAGATTGACTCACTTTTGGAGACAGCTTCTAGTGGCTACTTCTAAGAACTGCAGCATGCATGTTCATAATTCAGCTTTTCCATGATATGAAAATGTAAATTTCATTATGTCATAAAAGTTTTTCCTCTCTGCCAGGTGTGGTGGAGAACACCAAATCCCCTCATCTGTGTTTTATCTTTTAATATTTTAGTGGCATTTTTCAGCATGTCATTCCTGTTACATAATAGAGAGATGAGAGTAGATTGAAAACAACAGGAAGGAGGCAGAGGGGAGGAAACATCCAATAAAAGTCCCCAACCAGATGTGAGTGATGACACTTAAGTTTTTTACAATATACAACTCAGCATACTGAGCTTTTTCAAATTGACAAAGTTAAAGGCACAGTTAGGAGTTTTGGACTGATTTTAAATATGTGTTTAATGTGCGTCAAAGGCTCTGTAATGGTAACTTGATACAGAAACTCTTTATCTGACTTTTAGCCTTTTTTTTTTTTAAATCTGGGAACCATTAAATGACATACTGATAAATTTCCAGTGGGTGAGACAGACTGTCCCTCTTCTGCCTTTTAAGCTGTACAAACTGGATATTAGTTTGTTTAACAGCGTCTGTGTCTCCTTGCTGTTTTTTTAAGCTCCAAACTCTGTTTCCCACAGTTGTCCTAAATCCCCGGATCATTACCGGATTATCACCTCAGGGTTTGTTTTATCAGCGCAGAAACAGCAGACAGCCCCCAGCTATGACCACCACCCAAACATCAACCTATAGTTCTTATAGCATGGAGGTTTACTGAGCTCTTTGTGTTTTTCTGCAGAAAAAAAACATGATGCAAAGAGGCTGAACCATGGGGCCGCAATACAGAGAAGTAAATTGCATTAATCTGCATTTAGAGGTGTTATAAGGATCACTTAGTAAAGCTCTGAAAATGTGAAATATAATCTCAGGATTTGCAAAAATGAAATCATAACCAGGTCTTGTACTTTGTTGCAAAGTTGCAACAATTATACAAAAAAGAAACTTAAAGTGGATGTTTTTTAAAAATTCTTCGGGGTCAACAAAAATGATGACCGGAGGTAGTGAGAATTTGTAGTGGCACCCTTGTTCAAACTATTTCAATTTGTCATTATTTATCAAAGTATTTATGAACAAAGATTTCAACACATTTATTTTAACTCTCAGTCTGCTTACAGTTTATGTCAACGTCTCTATTAAGTCATAAATGTTTATTTATACGGGACATTTCAGCAACAAGACAATTCAAAGTGCTTCATATAAGCTATTTAAAGAATTGAAAAAAAATTAAGAAATGAAATAAAAATGTTTAAAGGGTAAAATTTAAGATTATTTAAAAACAACATACTTAAAATCAAAGCAAAAAAATCTAAATTAAATAAAACCAGAAGATTTAATTTTGATACTCTGTTGTGTTTTCCAACCTAAAGCCGGTAGGAGCATGTCGATGTTAAACAGAAGAGGCCCCAGGATGGAGCCTAGGGGAACCCCACATGTAACTTTTGTCTGCTCAGATGTGAAGTTACCTGTCCACACAAAATATTCTCTGCCCTCTTTGTAAGATTTTGACGAACTGTGGACTGTACCAGAAGAAAAGAATATATCCCCAACCGCATTACTGAGGCTTGTTAGTCTGACTGCAAGAAATTTGATCACATGCGACTTGAGTTGGACAGATTGCTTGAGTTTCAAAAGTCTAGTTTCAGTTGAACTTGTTCGATAAATTGATTTTCGCTGCAACAGTAAATAATGATACAGAGTTGTAGTACTTTCAGAGGTGCTTCCCAGAGCAGGTATTATGAGGAAGTCCAAAAAATGTCCCATGAATTTTATTCAGACAGTCCTGTTGCTGAGAAAGCCTTCAAAGCTTACCAGCTGCTGGTAAAAGTTTTTCCTCCAGCTGTAGGTAGATCCACAGTTTGGAGTTTCTTTACTGTAGCCTCCAGGAACAGCTGCAGCTACTGGGGATAATGCAGAAAGAAAAACAGGAGGACGCTGATCCTATTGGCTGGAAGAAAGTGAGAGACCCCCTGCTTCACTAAGTAAAGATGAAACTGTAAACATCTCTGCAGGAGAGCAGCGCTTCATGCCTCCGTCCTGCTTAGAGACAAAGCCCTGCTCCCTGCGCCCCCTCTGATTAGCCGGCTGGATTATCTGAAATGTGTAGATAAATGCCTGGAGGGGGGTACTGGGGGGACAATACTTCCTACAGTGGCGCTCACACAATGCAGCACACAGCAGACAACAATATGTCAGTGTTCAGCTCTCTTTATGTTCGGCGGGTACATGGCGTACTGAGGAGGAGCAGGTAGGGGGAGGTGCAGCTATAGGCAGTGAAATGGAGCTAAAGGGGAGGTGGGGGGTTGGTAGGGGTGAGGGGGGTGCATGGGAGATGCCAGTGAAACAAGGAAGAGAGAAACAGCTGTGACATGAGCACAGAGCAGCCAATGAGAGGGCAACGACTCTTCAATCCAGACCAGACATGTCAAAGATCAGACGAGGAGAATCAGCAGATTGTTATTTATTCATGATAGAAGGTGGAAACAGATTTATTATTTAGAGCTTTTTCAATCAAAACCATTACAGAGAAACAAAATAATTAACATGTTTTATTATTGAAATTATTCTGCATTTGTGAGGATTGTTTTTAACATAATTATTTCAATTATTGTGCTCATATAAGGATACACATTGTCGTTTTTTTTGTGGTTATGATTGCTTAATCACCTCTGCTTCCTTTGTTCCTGACAGTAGAAAAAAAAAAAACGGCTCCTTCCCTTATGCAAGTGCAAGCTGAACAAACTATAACAGCAACTATGTTCAGGAGATGAGAGTGAAGACCTCGAACGATCATCCTTTTGCCAGAGATCCACTTTTGCAGCTGAAGAAGAAGAAAATCCACCGAACTGCTGAAATAAGTGTTGTAACATTTGCATCTTTGCATTTAGCTCCCAGTTGTTCCTGCTGTAATTAAACCTGAGTGATAAAGTGATCAGCTGTGCAGCTTCTTCAGCAGGATGGACTCACAAAAGTTGCATTGATGTGCAGAATTTCTCCATCCATAATGAGTCAGTCAGGTCTTAATGAGATCATTGAAGCCTCAGTGAGGAGTTTCTGATGTTGAAATAGTCTCATTCTCATAGTGATGCCTCTTCATAACCTGCACACTAAAATGAGATTATCAAGGTTAAGTTTGGTTATTTGTTTACGCTGAATTTTATAGGTCTGTGTTCAGTTCTGTAAGAGAAGCCACGTCTGTATTTGTCAATTGGTAATGGCCAAGTTAGGGAAAGTTTGGGGTGGGAAGTCTATAAACCCTTTGACCTTTGTCAGGAGGAGAGAATTGGTCTCAAAATCATGATGATGATGATGAAAATGATGATCATGTAGTGTGTTTCTTACATTATAGCAGGAGTGTTAAAGTCTATATTAACGGTATAAAGCCAGTCTAACTTGTGTCTTGAGATGGGAATCAAATGAAATGTACTTAACGATCTTGACTTTTTAGATTTATTTCTCAGCACTTTGAGATTTTTATGCTGCACTGCTTCATCAGTATTGCCTGAGACCATGATGTAGAGGGATAAGACAGCTTCAAAATGTTTTATCTGTCAAACACATGGATGTGACTTTTACGATAATACGCTGGAGTGCATCTTTCACATATCTAATGTGGTGTGCTGTTATTTTAAAATAATTCTGATTACTCATAGTCCAAGGATTCTTGATTAATGCTACAGCAGTTGCCTGTTTTAGGAGTTCTAGTTCACTTGCTTTTCTCAGTTTCATACAGGATCTGTATTACATTGCTACTTTTCACAGTGTTGACTGGTACTGAAGATGAGAACAACAGGGGATTTTTCTGATAACGGAAATGTCATTTGAGCCAACTTTTAATGATAACTTTTAAAAATGCCCTCCAAAGAAGGATGTTCCTGAAAAGTCACAGCCACCGTTGTCAACAGATAGCCAGGGTTTCCAGTGAAAACGCTGACAGCACATTTCACTTTGCGCATTACACTTATTATGGGAACATTTGACTGCCATGCGCGAATCTGACAACATTATAATCAGTTTTGTTATCATAAGAAAATGATCTTTGTTACGTTGAGATAATGATATAAAAAGTCGTTATCAAGAGAAAACAGTAAAAAAAGAAAAATCCATGGCTGTTACCTGCAGTCAGTTTCCTCAATTTATCCTCATTTTCTTATTCATTTGAAAGGGACAAATGTATGCGACATTGCTTCATGGTGTATACAAAGAAGATGCCATACATAAAGTTTTCTAGCTAAGGAGATGAAAGCTGAGTCTTTTAATTTAGTGTCATCCTCGTGTCTGTGGTGATTCTCACACTCTATGGTATCGCTCCACTTGTGTAATGCTGTTGCTTGTTCACCTGTATGCTTACCTCATGGGGGGGTAATTCAACTTTGGACTTGTGAACTGAGCTGACAGAGTTTTTTTGAAGGTGAAATCAGTGTGGATTTTTTGCATCCCAACAGCAAGAACGCTGAGGTATAACTACAGTGTGCAGACAGGGAAAAAAACATGTCATTTAAAAAGAAAGCATTAATTTCTGACCTTAATTACATTAATGTATGAACACTAATAGCCCTCCAATAGACGTTCCTTTTTTTATTTGCAAACCTTGTTAAAAAGTACATAATAGGTAGTAAATAAGAAGGATTATGATCAGAAGTGGCTAAAAGTCATTTTCCTGTCCATTGTTATCACTCTGAGCAGTTCATATTTGTCTGATCCTGCTCATTCAAACTTAAATGAAAATAAACTTAGTATATTGAAAGTGAAAGCAGAAGTTATCAGCAGTCCATAAAGGGATAAATCAAAGACTAAACAGACAGAAACAGCTGCCTGAACCATGACCTGCTCTCTCTAACCTCCTATTGTCTTTAAACATGAATAATAAACATTTACTAACAGTCTCTATATTCTCCCTGTCAGAGCAGAACATGAGAGAGAGCGATACTTCCTCTGTTGTTTAAAACAGACGTGAACCCGTGTCCCCTATACATGACACACACGCACGCGCACACAGCCTCAGAGTGGATTCCTCACATACATGTCTGTAACATGTTTGCACATATGTGAGCTGTGCAGGCGGCCGACATGTTGGTAGTGTGTTCAGGCTCGCTGCCAGAGAACAACATGTTCCTGAATGTATAGAGCAGGAGGGGGAGGGGCTGAGCACACACACACACACACACACACACACACACACACACACACACACACACACACACACACACACACACACACACACACACACACACACAAAAACACATTAAGGGATCATATATTACCCTAGTGTCAGTGTACAGAACAGGAAACACGCCCCGTCCCAGCACTCCAACATGTTAATGCGCTGCACAGACTGGAACATACACACATATTTATTAGATTACATAACACAAAAACGTGTGTACTGACTGTTTGTCATCTCACAAAAAATTCAGAAACATATTTAATTTGACCATTTTACCTTTCTGCAGGTCTTAGTCCTGATTTCTTTTGGATTTTAACTTGATTAATTCAGATTTGAAACTCTGTTAAGGACACAGTCGTATATTTTGCTTTGAGACACTTGCAAGAATTTGTTGATATGATATCATATTCCAAGAAACCAAAGACAAAAATGAACACATGGTTCCCTAAAATAACTGACCACTAGAGGGCGCTGTCACTTGACTGCAGAAGAAACTCATAAATCAACTGATGCTGCAGAGTTGATGCTAAATACAGTATCTCTGTAAAGTCCGTCACTGTCAACTTTTGCTCACAGTTTCTGCACACTTCTGCACAAATAAACCTGCTCTGTTTTAGACTGCATAAACATACATATGGACAGCCGGCCTCAATCTCCCCCTACTTTAAAGAAAGTCAAACAAAAGTAAAGTCTGACAAATCTGTGCAGAGGTGATCTGGCTGATGGAGCTCAGGTGGGTCCGACCCACTAGGACAGATAACTAATGCGTTACTTTTACAGTTTGAGGAATACATCCAGTAATTTGTTACATAATCACTTATTCATTTTGGATATCCCATTACGATAAAAAAAATGTCATGATTTGTGAAAGGATCTGCAAAAGAAACAAAGCTCTGCAAAGCTGGTGGTGAGGCTCATTGTGGAGGAGAAAGATGCTACTGTTGCTGCAGCTCCTTTGTACTTTTATAAGTAACGATTCCCAAAACTGGTCTTGTGTTTGTCTTCCATTGGTCAACAGAGCTGTCAATCATAATGTCTGTTTTGACAACAGCTAACTGACTCAAACTAAGCTCTCAGATAAATGAACACTGACAAAAATCAGCGTGGTAAGCAGTGTTTGGTGATAAGAAAAGAAAAGACATAACAGATGATGCAGCAAATTGCTTACACTGCAAAACTAGCCATCATCTGCACTGATGGTCTTAGATCACACTTTAGTCCAGCTCTTCTCCAGCCTATTGCTCCATCTTAGGAGAATGAGTTTCAGGCTGGAGTCAAACCCAGGCCCCCTGCATGAGGCCTCTACAACTTGGATTTCTGGCCATCAGTGCATCTATAAATTTTCACTGTATGCTGACCACAGCAGCAGTCCAAGAATGAAGCTCATAACCTGGATACTCCACGCAAACACACTTAATGTCTCTGACCTTTCACCTGATCGTGGGCTTGGAAAATATTTCAGTTCTAGAGGATAATAAACTCATATCAGTCTGGGATGTTTTTTTTTTCTTTTATTACATAAATGTTATGAACAAACAGCTCACAGTGTGTGTGTGTTTTTGTGTGTTTGTTTGTGTGTTTTTGGCCTCAGAGCAGCACAGTGAGAGTAACCCAGTGTGTCAGAAACATGTTCAGACCCGGAGCTGTGTGTGCAGCAGAGCTGATGTTTGCAGAGAGAGAAA